CACACACACACACTCACTCACTCACTCACTTTCCCACAATCGATTCATCTTATCTCGGAAAGGCCTTGGAACCAGACTGAACAGGGAAAAGAAGCAAGTCCAAGACTCCCGTCCCTCTCTAGAGAGGAAAGCACCGCTATCTGCAGTGCCTGCCATCCTACTGTACTAGGCCACGGCCCACAACCTCCAATGAAGTAGGCTAAGGTAGCCAATCCACTTTCTCTTACCCAAGAGACAAGCCTCTAGTAGCCCAGACCGTCTGGCGCATCCATTAACCATCTCTCTTGCCTCTCATCCATCTCATCTCGTAAGGCCCGGTTTGGTTTCTATTCAATCCCTCCCCATCCCGTCTATACCTATCCAACTTCTCCAACAATCGATACGAATATTATCATCATCTCCTTACTCATACGACAATCCACCACGCACGCCTTTTCTCCTGCGAACCACGCATCTCGACCAGGGGTACGTACTGGTATCTGACAGCAACGAGACGACCCTGACCGTCCCGTCTCATTTTTGCACTGACCGACCGGGTCCTTGACTGGACGACATCTGCCCGCCGCTGCGTTTCGTTTGTGTTCGCGTGCTCTAGGGGTTCTCATCCATATTGGACTCCCGCCCCAACAACTACGCATTTCTCAATATCGACTCGAAACCCATATTCACCAGCAACCAATCTTTTCTCGACCAAAAAAACAACCCTTCGGATTTCCGCCCACGACTAGCATTGCCGTGCACATACAAAATTCAATTGAAACTGCTTGTGTCAATGCCTTGAACGTCCCCCACGACCTCCCCCGCGATACCTACAGTACCTGATTTGCGACGCCAATTTCAATTGTACCCGCCTGATCACCACTTCGTCCCCTTCGTCTTTCGGCGCCTACGGGACGATCCAGCATTCATCCGCTGGTCATGACACCCGCTCCTACCGGCCGCCGCAGCCCTGTCATCGTAGGTGATACTATGTCGGGCGGCGACTACAACAATTTTTCTTCCGACGGGGATTTGGCTGATTTTATCGACATCGACTTCAACTCTAATAGCCCAGACACCCTTCAAACAATGGAGTCGCTTGGCGGCTCGGAGACCAAAGGATTTCTTGCGCCCTCCGACTTGACATCAACAGCTTTTCCCGACTCTCCAAACGGCTCCTCGTATCAAGATTCATCATCAGAGTCGGCTTCTTCCAAACGCACCACTAGTCGGACATCATCCAAGGCGGCCATGAACCCGGCCGACATAATGGCGGATGAGGACGATGTCAACATGGAATGGAACCAGCCTGGTTATTCCACGTATGATGATGAACCAGCCTACGCATACAATGAAACAGCTCTGGAAAGCTTATACAATATTAACGATCATAGCGATGCTCTATTCGACCCCCCTTATGCTTTCGACACTGCATCTAGCAGCCCCAACGGCGAAAACTCAGTCACATCACCTCCGATGCCCACGATCAATCCACATAGTTTCGGTAAGGATGCAACGCCAAAAAGGAAAAAACCACAAGGTCATCAAAAAGCTTCATCAGTATGTTCCTGCATTTAAAGATCAGCAAACATGAATCGCCGACTAACAAATCCGAAGCAATACTCTGTCTCTTCTGCAATGAATGCGTTAAAAACAACTACATCGCGTGAAGTCTCGCCCATGTCTAATACCATGATCATGAGCCAAGATCACTCCCCGGCAGCCATCTTCAATTCGCCCTCACCTCACAACTCTATGGATTTCTCGAGGGTTATGGCTGGAGCAGCACCGGGATGGCCAAGCAGAAACGACGTGGTGACACATCCTGCACCCGATGGCTTGCCCATGCAGTTTGTCGGTCAAATGAGCCAGCCTATGCCCATGCCCCATCATTTACCCATGCCCGCGCCATACAATTTTACTGGGCAATACAGTTTGAAGATTCTTCCTACGCCGCTCAAGTCGCGGGTCGAGACTCAAATTCCGATACATATGGTTCTATCTCCAATGCCCCCCGGGGTTACAAAGCTGCACCTGCCACCTCACACAATCTCGAAGCCCAAGTTATTGGCAAAGCCAGCACCTAAAAAGTCTCCAGAGATGCTCGAATTATTTGTGTCCTTGGTATGCACGAGTGCCATGACACCTGGTAGGAAAGAGGCCGCACTCAAGCGTGCTGCTTCTCACCCTCAACGTTATCTGCCCGACAACGATGACGAGAATACTCCTCAAAAGGGTGGCGACGTACGTATCTGTCAAGGTTGCATAACTCGAGAGCGCAAGCGTGCCGCCAGGAAAAAGGTCAAGAAGCCTGAAGAAGAGGAGGTCTGGCAACAGGATGAGAACCATCGGGTAATTGTCTTCAATACGCAGGAAGTGAAAGACTGGCAACCTGTCCAACCTATGAACAGCATGGAGGCATCTGCGCCTCCTGGTATTATGCAAGTGGATGCTCCAATGCGCATTGCTTGCTACTGTCGGCACCATGGCGAAAAGGTCGGGTTCAATGTTATCTTTACTATCAAAGATTGCGAGGACCGAGTTATTGCTCAAGCAATGTCAGACGCTATCATGATTACTGATGACCATAAAACTCACCCACCCGCACAGCCGCCTGTCGCTCAACAACAGATGAGCATACCCGAAGCGCCTGTACCTGGACCCGTCTCTCAAGTCCCGGTTGATGCCAGTGCTCTTCTACCACCCACTCCCAACGGGACATTCAGCATGTCACCGACCAACGGGGACCCCTCCAACATGCACAGGAATAGCCAGGCCTCATATCAATCGTCTATGTCATCCAACACGGCAATGAATGGCGCCAATGGTCGTGCCCTTTCACGTCCTGCTTCACCCATTCGTGGTGGCCCGACGAAGAAGAGAAAGTCGAGCGCGTCTAGAGTTCCCAACGCACTGACCATGACCCGCATGGAGACTACGCCCTCACCAGGCTCTCAGGCAGCCCAGCTACCCACTGCTGCTACGTCTCCTTTTACTCCTAACCTCGCTGCCTTCTCTCAGGCAGAGCCATTGTTCGGACAACAATCAATGGTCTTTTCCACTGGGCCTCCTACACCCAGCAATAATGAGCAACCGGGATTCTTCAATAGTAACCGCTCCGCCAGCATGGACAACTTGGCATTGGCTCAACCACTTTACTCGGCACCTGCTTCAGGCCACCCGAGTCGAGCTCCTAGCCCGAACGGACTTCGAAATGGTGTGGGTGCTAATCCTCAGAACCAATTTGCCCAAGATCTAAACACCAACTTGTTCACTATTCCTGTCGGCGTGAACAATCAGACGCGCGCACGTCCTGTTATCCATAAGATCATTCCCAAAGAGGGTCCGAAGACTGGTGGTGTCGAAGTTACCGTTCTTGGTGCTGCTTTCGTTCAGGGACTCGAGGTCTGGTTCGGCAATCAGAAGGCCACAACTACAACATTCTGGGGTGAATCTTCGTTGGTTTGCTTGTTGCCTCCTTCACCTGTGGCGGGGCCTGTTCCTGTCACTTTCAAGCATGCGAACGCCCAGGCCTCGCAAACCTTGCCTATGAACAAGCAGACCCCCTACTTCAAATATGTCGACGACAACGAGGAAGCTCTTGTTAGGCTGGCCTTTTCTGTACTTGGAAATAAGATTTCTGGTAATATGATGGATGCTGCGGATCTGGCTCGCAGGATCCTGGGCGACACCTCATCAGCTTGGTCTGCTGGTTCTTCCATGGGCAATTCTTCGGGCGGACAGATGTTTAGCCATGCTCCCTATGCTCATCTCGAATCACAGCTTCTCAAGTGCTTGGATCTTATTGATCTAGATGACAGCCAGCACAAAGCTCGTCTGGATCTCCAAGGATCGACCGGCCACACCATGCTTCATCATGCTTGCTCACTGGGTTACCACCGTTTTGTCGCCGCTTTGCTGGCCAGAAGTGCCAGCCCTGATACTCAGGATAAGGGTGGCTTCACTCCTCTGCACATCGCCGCGATTCACAACCATGCCGAGATTGTGCGGAGATTGATGCTACACGGAGCTGACCCAACGATTAGAAGCGTATCTGGTCTTACTGCTGCCGATATAGCCCAGTCGCGTGGTGTCTTACGCACTATCCGCCGTTCTGAACGTCACATTCGCTCTCGCAGCAGTGGTGGATCGCTGCATAGCCGAGCTAGCAGTGCCACATCTCTTCGATCATTCTGGGAGCCTATGACCAAGGTTCACACTTATGACGAACCTATCTCACCAGACTCAAGCGAAGAAAGCCCCGAGTACACGTCTGGCGATTTTGAGGATGAGGACCCCGATGAGAATGATCATTTGATCATGAGAAGACCTAGCGGCTTTAGGCAAGACCGCGAACGGCCCAACCTTCGCCGTCGAAAGACTGGCGAGTTGGATGAGGAACTGGCTCCTCCTGCAACAGCCATGGCTGCTGCATCGGCTGCATTGAAGGATCATTTCCAACAACAAATCCACCAGTTCCAGCAGTCCATTGCCGTGCAGTTCCAGAACCTACCGCACTTCCCTCAGATGCCCGCATTGCCTAATATGCCCGACTACCAAGCACCGTTTATGCGACGGGTCCAGCAGTTCATGCCAGGAATGGCAGCGCCTCGACCTGAAGGCGAGCAGCCTCAGCGTTGGTGGGACTCAGCAATCAAGGCAACTGCGTCAGCGCCTCCAGCCTATGACGAGATTTACCCTCGCGAGGATCTTGACCGAAAGCAAGCGTCTGCCGCTCGAGCGGCTGTGGAGGCCGAGGCTGACCAGAAATGCGCGGCTCTGTTCGACCAGCCTACAACCACAGAAATCGGACCTGCACCAATTGAGGTTACTGAAGTTACTGAGGTTTCCGAGGTCACTGAGATTTCTGAGTTCAAGACAGGAGAACCGGAAGTTCTCAAGATTGGCCGCAAGAACGCCATCACCAAGGAGCAGCAGGAGCAATTCCGCCGAGCACATGAAGTAAAGATGAAGAGAATTAGCAGTGACCACAATCTGTTCTTCATCTGGGTAAGTCACATTGCACGCAATCTTAAGCTCAACCTTAAACTGACCAATTCTGCAGATTCCTCTACTACTCGTCATGATTTGCGCAATGCTGTACAGCTATTTCCCTTGGCTTTTCACATTCGCCTGGGCATTTGCTCGATCACTATACCACAGCGGACTTAGCAAGACTCAGCAGCTCATTCAACACAATCTTCCGGACCATGTTGAAAGAGTCGTCGAAGTCTGACACGATTTAATGACGTTGTTTCTCGACACTTTTTGCATAAATCCCTGGCGTACCTTTTTTTACTCTTCTACATTCACGGATTCGGCGTCTATTATTACATGTTTTGATTCTTGACGACCGATATTTATTGTTTGTTTTTCATGCTCTTACTCGCTTGAACCTCGTCGGATCGAGGCTGAGCGTATAGAGCGTTTCTGGGAGAAGACTTGATATGCGGACAAGTCGTGTTGGGACGGTGTTTCCTGGGGTCAATACGAATGGGCAATAGAGGATCTGTATAGGATTGACTTTTTTCTTGTAAGCAGTTGACCTGAAGTTTATTGTAAAGCCGATCAGGGAATACGATGTTTTTTGTGTTTTTCCCGGTGATGGGATACAGATAGGCAGGGAATGGGTATGAATGGGTTAACGGAAGTTGTATATATAGTTATAAAGACGAGATGAATCAACAGTCTCGACAGTCTCTTGTTGTTCTTTGTCTTGTGAATCGCTCTTCATACATGAACCCTCTACACCGACAAGGCTTCATGGGTACCCAATCAACTCATATTAACTTGATACATGATTAATATAGACTAACCGAGTCACCACCAACACCTTTCACTTTTTATCTGCAGAGCACATTCATGGAGGGGAAAATAATCATCAATACCATCCATCATATCAAACAAAACCCTGAACGCCCCCAAACCCATTATGTAGACCTTTCGTCGCAATCGCGCAAAGACAATGAACGTTTTCCATCACCATTCCCCTCCTCCTCCAAGACTGTCTCTCTCCCTTGCTCGTTCAAATACATAATCCCAAAGCATGAAAAAGCCCACCCTAACCAACCGTTAGAGACGGATGATAGGAGACGTCAGAAAAAAAGTTCAGTCATGTCGCATGTCATCATGGATATCTAACAACAATTCCACCATGAAAGAAGAACCAGAAACAAAAAACAAGGTCGTGGCCGCGTCATTCAAGAGTCGTCCATACGCCCGTCGCTTGCAGAGATTGTAAGCTTGATATAATGCTTTGCATCTCACCACTGCCGTTATCCGCTGTGCTGTCG